GGCACATAGTCCCCAGGCACCCACAGAGGGCAGTCCTGGGGGTGGCTGAAGGGTCACCTTCCTCTCTGGAGCTTTCTTTCCTTGGGAAGCCTGTTGGGTCAGTCAGAGAATCCCAGAGTTTGAAGACTAGGAGCATGTTCAAGACTCCAGTCCTCCAGGGCAGGAATCCTGACATTCCAGAGAGGTCAGTGCCAACAGAAGTAGGTACATCTTGCGCCACCATCTGGTGTCCCCATCCAAGGGTGTGCTGTGCTCTCAGAGGGGGAAGTGGGAGAGTGGGACACGTGGACTTCCACTTCTCTGGGGCCTGCCTCACGAGTCTGTTTGGCTTCACATGGCTGTGTCTCTAACCTGGGACCACAGTCCCTAGGGAAAGGCCAGTCCTCCTCCCCTGGGCCCCTACTCTATCCTCAGGACCAGGGTCCAGGGTCCTGAAATCACATGCAGGGAACGACATCCACACCAGGCCATAACTCAAAGGATGTGAAGGACTGCTCTCTCCATGCCCAAGCACAGGTAATAGAAAGTGACAAGATGCTCCAGTTTGGCCAGGGTTGTCCTCATTTCTGATGGCTTGAATCTGGTGGACAGGTGTTCCGGGAACCATACCCTTGGCTATATATAGCTATGTTTTATTGAGAGCTCTAGGCCTTCAATAGCATGTGCATAGCAGGAGGCAGGGCAGCAGCTGGCTAAGTACTCAGGACTTGTGCTGCCTCAAGTCAAATCTCTACTGTGCCCCCACACTATCTGCACAACCTCGGGCAGGTCCCCACTTGCCTCAGTTTCTTCATCTATAACATGGGGACAGTACTTAATAGTACCGGTTTCATATGAGTACCCAGAGGATTAAGGAGCTAATGTGTGTGAGCCAGCACTCAAGATGCGTGTTGGAAGTTAGAATGAAGGTGCTAGATGCCTTACTAACATAATTTTATCAAATTCTCAAATGTATTATTGAGGATTATTATTTAACACTATTGTCCCCATTTCACAAATGAGGAAACTAAAATTTAGAAAGCTTAAGTAACTTACTAAATGTCACTAGCTAGTAAATGGAGAAGCTGAGGTTTTAGTTTGTGTCTGTCTAATGCTCTCTTACTTCCATGAGACAGATGCTGGGGTTGCTTATAAATTGCTCCCAACTCAGTCACTCACAGGACTTTCCAGTGGGTCTCTCACTTTCTCCAGCTCATGAGATCTCTTGTTCACCAGAATGGAGCCCAGGGTTACCCCCTTGGTACCGACCTAAATAGTCTAGGCTCCCTGGCCCAGTTCACTGCTGGGCACAGGAGTCTTCCGCAAGGCTGGACCATTGCCTGCATGCTTTGAAGGGCCCAAGGAGCCCAACAGAGTGCTGCAGAGTGGCGCTCCCCGCCCCGGCGCATTCCCTCCACAGGAAGTCTTGGTCCTTCTCCATCCTTCCCCCGCCCCCAGATAAATCTCAGCACTCTGGGCAGGAGTTCCTTATTCTGTCCTAATGGGAACACGAGGAAGATGCTGCAGGGGAGCGTTCTCACCTTCTTGTGCATCACAGTCGTGGTCCTCAACTGTCCCCTCCTCCCTTCCTCTTAGCCAAAAAGTGGAGACACCCAGCCCTCTTTGGGACGACAGCGCCTCTGTGCCTGGGATACCTCCCCAGGAGCTGGCTCTGCACCCACTGCTCTGCCTGCCTTCTCTGCCTTCTCAGCTGCTCCCACCCCAGATCCCTGCAGGAGAGCCCCTCTGTCCTCAGGGCTCTGGGCTTTTGTCTACACCCGCCTCCATCACTTTCACGCCCACCATGTCTTACTTCGGGACAAGTCACTCCCAAGTTGGGAATTCCATTTGTGGAAGGGCAAAAAAGTTTCTCCAACAGAGCCTCAGCGAGTGCTTGGACTTGGGCTAGGTGAAACCACCAGTTCACTGACACGGTCCCTGGGCTGGCCTCCTCCCAACTCCTGTCCACTGAGGTCTGCTGTCTCAAAAGGGACTCCAGCCTCTCTGCTCCCCACCCCTCCTCCTTACATTCAGCTCAGACACCCCGGCAGGGAAGCTCAGCTCTAAAGGCCACGGGGTCCCTCCCCTCTCCTACCTGGGGTGTAGAGGCGCTGGCTTCTCCTTGGTAACCCAGGGAAACCGGCAGTGCCGTGGGAGGGAGGGAGATGCGGAAGCTCCTGGACCCGCGGGAGGGACTGCAGCCGTCGGGTGCTGGGGACCGGGACCGTCTTTCGGAGAAGCTTGCGGCCCCAGGGCTTAGGACAGCTCTCCACCACGCCCTACCGACGCCCCACTTTCCCCCTCTTCCTTCCCACGATCCTTCCCCTGCCTCACTCAGATCCCCAGCCCCGGGCCACACGGTTTGCAGACAGTGACTGTGGTGGGGAGGAGGCGCAGGGCGTCCTCGCGTGGAGAGCGTGGGGTCTCCCGTGGGTATGGACTGGCTCTTCCCCCCACGGGAAACGGAACCCGGGCAATGGCCGCCTGCAGGCTTCGGGCCGGTGTGACTGAGGACGTTGGAGGGGCTCCGAGGCCCTGCCGGCCTGAGGGAACCCCAATAAGGGAGACCAGGGCTGGGTGTCCCCACTCCCGGAGGTCGCCTCACCCGCTCCGGGAGCTCGGGCGCTGGCCTCACGCAAAGTCCCGCGAGCCGGTGCCGGTCGCTGTCGTTGTGGACGCCCCGCGTCGCTAGGGGCGGGCCGGGCGGGGACGGCGAGCGCGTCGCGCCTCGGAGGAGGGGGCGCTGCTGCTTGCTCGGCTGCCGCTGCGCATCCGGCACGCGGCCCATTCGCGCGCAGGGCGGCCAGGCCCTGCCTGGGGAAGGTTTAGTGGAAGCGGCCGCTTTGGGGGCCGTGGGACTGTGGCCTTGCGCTACGCCCTGTTCTTCTGTGGGACGTGTCTAGGAACGGGTGGGCTTTCTAGGGGGCTGGAGGTGGGAGACCCCGGGCAGGGCTGCTGGCCTGGAGTGCTTGTGCTCTCTTGGTAGCCTTTGTGTGGCAATGGATAGGGAGCTGGGGATGGGGAGTTGGTCCAGGAAAAGCGTCTGTGGAAGATGAGAGTGGACGGACCTTCTCCCGGGCACCTGTAGAAGTCAATGGAACTCCCCTGAGACCTCCTGGTGACCTTAGGCCCTGCAGGAGGGCACCTTCCACCTTTCTCCCAGCTGATGTCTGGCACTAGACGCAGGAAGGCCAACACCGTGCTCCTTCACACAGCCCATGTCCTGTGCCAAACCCCCTTCCGGCCCTGGCGCGACAGGATGTGGTGGGGGCCCCTGATCTCTTGGAGGGCAAGAGGGACAGACTTCAGAGAGATGGCTAGTCAAAAAAAGAAACTGGCTTTCAGGAAGGGAGAGGCAGCCAAGGTGGTGGGGGTTTCAAAGGGTAGCTTTGATTTCAGTTCTGCTGAGGACTATTAGTTGGTTACCCTGGACGAAAACCTCGAAGCTCTGTTAATTCAATAAATCAGGGGTGCTACAACTCATCTTGGCGCCCGCAGAGCTTGGAGCTGGGCCTGTGGTGAGCACTGCCGAACAGTGGCTACTGCTCCAGTGGCCAGGATGCTGAGGCAAAGCTCTGCAAGCAGTGAGGGGCCAGGCACCAGGATTGGGTCTCTTCAAGCCCTCACCGGTGCCTTACCAGCAAATCATCGGTGCCTTAATTAGAATGAGAAACTGTGCAGAAAATGATGCCAGGAGGGCCCACGCTGCTCGAATAATTTTTACTAGACAGAACTTGGTAGCCAGGGAGCCCTTGATTTGAAGATGGGTCCCCTGAGGCCTTTTCCTGCATCTAGCAACAGAGATCTAGGAACAGAGGCAGAGGTCCAATGTCTGCTGTCTGAGGTGGACTCATTCTGGTAGGGAAGGAGGGCTCCCCTCCATCTCTTGGCTTCCTCTTGCTTTGAGCTGCCAATTTTCAGCTTCAGCTCAGGCTTGAGGCAGGTGCTGTACAACTTGCTTTATTCAGCATATTGCTTGTCTGACCCTGCTCTCCAACCTCATCACCGGCTCCTATCCCAGCTGACTGCTCAGTGGCACTGGCCGCCTCACAGTCTCTGAATTGGCTGTTCCCTCAGCCTGGAATGCTTTTCCCTTAGATTTCCACATCGCGCACACTCTCACCTCCCAGTTCCTGCTCACATGCTGCCTCTTGGTGAGGGAGGTACCACCATCCACACTCCTCATCCCCAATCTGTATTTTCCCCCCAGACCTCATCACCGTCCGACACATGGTCTCACTCTGTTGCCCAGGCTGGAGTGCACTGGTGCAATCATAGCTCACTGCGGCCTTGAACTCCTGGGCTAAAGTGATCTTCCCCCCTCAGCCTCCCAAGTAGCTGGGACTAAGGTGTGGGTAATCTCAGCTACTTGGGAGGCTGAGGCAGAAAGATCACAATTTTCTTTTTTAGAGACAGGGTCTTGCTGTATTTGTGCAGGCTGTTCTAGCACTTCTGGCCTCAGGCGATCCTCCAACCTCAGCCTCCCAAAATGCCAAGATTATAGTTGTGAGCCACAAAGCCTTACCCTTGTCCTTCGCTTTATTGCGTGTTTCCTCCATAAGAAGCAGACTCCATGAAGGAAGGAATCATTAGTTTAGTGCTTGAAACATTCTCAGTTGCTCAAGTTATCAACAAATCAGCAGGGCCCAATTTAGAGGTTTTTTTTTTTTTTTGGAGACAGTCTTGCTCTGTTGTTCATGCTGGAGTGCAGTGGTGTGCTCTCAACTCACTGCAACCTCCGCCTCCTGGGTTCAAACAATTTTCCTGCCTCAGCCTCTTGAGTAGCTGGAACTATAGGCACATGGCCGTAGTTCCACGCCTGGCTAATTTTTTGTATTTTAGTAGAGATGGGGTTTCACTGTGTTGCCCAGGCTGGTTTCAAACTCCTGAGCTCAGGAAATCCACCCGCCCTGGCCTCCCAAGTGCTGGGATTACAGGTGTGAGACACCGCGCTTGGCTGAGGTCACTGTTAATGCTGTTAATGAAAAAAGTGATAGTAAAGAGGCTCTGCGCTGCTGAAATGATTTTCACAGGATGATTCTGTATCTTCCCGGTAGCCAGGGAGCCTATTGTCGGTGCCCACCATTGCCAGGCATGCAGAGCCTGTCTGAGCACTCATGGCAATGAGGATGGCCCGATTTGGATCCCAGGTGGCCTTTCAGATAGTTTTGAGTTCAGACTGGTGTTAGGGCACCCATACCAGGTTGCTGGGAGGGGAAACAGTGTTCTTTTTCAAATAGAACCTTCTGGAGCTTCCTATCCTCTGTGCAATAATTTCTAATGTGCAATCACAACCATATGTCTTCTCATTCACCAAGGGGGTGTGTGTCTCTGGGCCCACTTCTGCGTTCCCTAGCCCGTTATCTCCTTGTATCATGCAGGGCCTGGTCCACATGGTCCTCTTTGGCTCAGCTGCTGGCCTCCAGTCTCTAGTCCTTTCTTCAGCCTGTGGGGAGTTCTGCTGGCTCCTTCAGGGCAACCTGGCACTTGCCTTTAGTCCATGCGGGTCCCTGGGTGGGCCTGGGTCAGAGCTGGTTGAGGGCATAGGCTCGGGCTGTGTTGAGGGCAGCTTCCAGGTCAGCAGTGCTTCCATTGCCTTGGGCCACCACTCTCGAGCCCCAGGCCTTGCCCCCCATGTGGCTGCACACTGCCAGTGCCCAGGCCTCAGCTGTGAAGGTGGGCGTGGCACCCTAGGAACAGAATCAGAAGGGGAAGTGATGCAGAGTGGCCCTCCCTGCCGGCATCCACTCACGGTACCCTCAACAGCAGAGCTGAAGGTGATCAGCACCCCGTTCCCAGCTGAGCACATGGTGGGGGTGTTGGCTGACAAGCAGGAGAAGGGTTGGGCTGGAAATATGTGTGGGGAGGTTTATGAACGTGAACATCTGCTACTTGTTTACGAGGGATGTGAGGCCTGGGAGGGGTTGGTAATTAAGGAATCTCTCGGTGCTTTCTGGGGTGGGGAGGGCTGTTTTTAGGAACAAGGAGATTCCCCCCTGTCCTGGAATATGCTCATAGATACCTCCACCCAGCCTTGGCCCCTTTGTCTGGGAGAATTAAAGGTGTAAAATCAGCCAGCCAGACCAGGATGGGTGGTAAGGGGGTGGTGGGCTGCTCTCCCACTTCCCTCACCTGGGCCACCCGACAGGCACACAACACCTTCCCCAAAGGCTGGGGGCTGAGTAGGAGCACAGATGTATTGGGGGCCTGCTCACACAGCTGCCGTACGACCTTCACCAGCACCTGGGCCATGAAAAGCAGATGGTGAGCCCATAGCTTCCCAGACCCCAGCTACCCCCTGGTCAGGACTGTGCCCTCCCCAGACCCTGGGGCAGCCCTGCTTGGCCAGCACTCACTGAGAGGGACTCAGCAGAGACTGTGTCCACAATCAGAGGTTCCTTCGAGTGCCGCTCCAGCAGCTCCTGGGTTTTCTTTGCAGCCTATGGGGCAGGAAGGACCAGCAGCGGGGTCAGGCTGAGAGGCAGGTTTCCAATTATCCCCCACTCCTGAACTGAGCCCCAATTGAGCAATCCCCTCTTCCCCCACCCACCCCAAAGGTCATCAGCTCTAAGCAGAGGTGGCAGGGACTCTGCTTAGGGTAGCCTCCTTTTTGGGTCCCACATGTGTCCTTCCCCACCTCCCTTGCCGCTTCCCTTTCATCATAGCTCCAGGCCCCTACAAATAGGTCGCTGAAGGTGAAAGGAGGAAGGTCAGAGTACAGATGGACCAGGAGTGGGCGGGAGGAAGGGGGATCCACAGTGAAGGTGCAATCAGGGCTGAATGGCACTAATCAAGTCAGCAGGCTTCCCGGGGTGGGGAGAGAGATCTGAGCCAGACTTGGGAGTTGGGGGAGAAACACAGTTTGACAGAGAGAGAAGTAGGGGAATGGCCTGGGTGATGGTTCCCAGCTGGCAGGAGAAGGAAGAAGCTGCCACCACCCCGTCCCCATGTCCTTGCACAGCCTCTGACTCACCCCCTTCCCCAGCCCTTGAGACTTCTCAGTATATGTGTTGGAGCAGCTCTAGGCACAAGGATACAGCGAAACCTCCTCTCACCTGCCCCATCTCCAGCTTACGGATGGCAGTGTTGGCACGCCGCTGCAGCATCTTCAGTGTGGCCAGCAGCTCCCGTCGCTGCCACTGGGGCATCACAGAAGTCTCCACAGCCTATGGCCAGAAGTAGTGCATCACCCCTGCCCTTCCTGAGCCATAGTCTCTGAGGTAGGGACCCGGAGGGCCAGGGAAGCCACCCACCCTGCAGACAAGTATCTGGGCCAGCTGGAGCCCAACCCGACTGGAGAGCTGGGGAGAGTCTGGGGGGGGTCCAGGGAGGCATGGGGGCAGGGGGGAATAGGGCCAGGAGAGGTTGGGGAACAGCTCCACGGTAGGCGTGGCCCTCACTTCAATGAGTCGTCCTATGTCCTTGGATAGCCGATGTGCCTCCACCCCATCCCGGCTCCCTTGACTCAGCCGCTCAGTGGCTGCTTTCACTTCCTGGGCCAGGCTCTGGCCTAGCTCTTGGGCCTGCCGGAAGGGAACCGGAGGGTCAGGGCCGCCAGGTTGACATTCATCTCCCCAGGACAAGGCCTCTCAACTCATTACTGGTCAGGGACAAATTAGACATAACAATCAGGACCAATCAAGGCACCAGCACCAAATAATCAAAACAGATGCCAGCTGCCAACAGCTGGTATGGCCACATTGGTATGCACGTATGAACACTGGCTCTGCTGCTGGGCACCCCTGAGCCTGAGCATGTCACCTGCATGTGTCCCCTGCACCCACTCAACCCAGAAGTCCCAAGCCTACTGGCATGCTGACCTGCTGGGCCTGCTCCCCCGTGACAGCCAGTAGGCGGGTGGTGCCTTTGGAAAGCTGGCGCTCCCCGATGATAACCAGGTCCCCTACAGCCCCTGTACGTAACAGGTGCCTATGGGAGGAAGGAGGGAGCAGAAAGTCAAGGGGGATGACAGGAGAGAAGGGAGAAGCCAGAAAGTATCGCCCATCAAGGGCTGATGGCTCCAAAGACCAAGGAAGGGCGAGGACCCAGGGCCCCTGGGCCAGGCAGCACAAAACAGCGACTCACGTCCCACAGCATAGCTCCACAGAGGTCTGCAGTGCGGCTTGGGAGGCCGGGTCCAATGCATGGGCTACGGGCACCCCCACTGACACCACTCGCACAGGGTCTGGGTAAACCTGAGGTCAAGAGGGATAGACCCATTAGCTGCCAAAGGAGAAGGGTAAAGCCTCCTAGTATGCCTGAAGGAGGCCCCTGATCTCCACCAAAAGGGCTTCCCCTACTCACCTCATCCAGAGTGCGCAGGCCAGGGACCTGGGCAGTGAGCGCCAAGGCCACCTCCTCCATGTACACGGCCTTATCCTGCCTCACAGCCTCCTGCACGGTGTTCTCCACCGCTCGGAGCTGCTCTGGAGTCAATGGGGTCTGGAGGGGTGGGGAGGAAATAGAAAGACCAACATGCAGTCAGCCCCTTACCTGTAACTGATGCATTAAAACATGGTCAGTGTCCACCGAGCTATCCCCAGGTTCTAGAATAGTGGCTAGCACATAACAGGTTGAGCAGACAATTCTTTTCCTTAGAAAGCTATCTGAGAGTTGGGCCTATGGGAAGCTCCAGGCCTTTCACTAGGCCCCAGACGTTGATGAAGAAACAGAAAAAGGAGGCTGTATCCACAAGGAGCTTACATGGGGCAGCTCAATGGAAGAGGGAACTACAGGACTCGGGGATGCAGGGGCAGGAAATAAGCAGGTGGGATGGGGTCAGCCAGCAAGTGCTTCTTGCAGAAAGGATTTGAGCCAGATGTGCAAGTTGGGCAGGGAGACAGGGTGGCAGCAGAGAGGGCAGCCCAGTTTGAGCAAGAATGGCTTGGGTGACAGCAGAAACAAGGAAGGGGCGTGGCTGGAGGTGAAGGGAGGGCCCCTGCTGGAGGCCGTTTAGAATTCCACAACATCAGAGCTGGGCAAGCCTCCAGACACCCTGTAGCCTGGCTCCTCACTGTTGCTGGAAGAACCCAAGGGGAAGGGACTTGCCCAGGGTTCCATAGCGACTGGGTGGCCATGCTGGGTCTAGAGCCTAGGTCCTTAGATTGGTCAACCTGCTTACAGCAGGCTATCTTTCTTTAAGCCTGTCACCTAACCTCACCTCACGTGAAGCCTGTCTTTCTGTGCTGGACTCACCTGGGTGACCACATCGAAGCGCAGCCGCTCAGGATTGAGATGGGAGCCCTGCTGCTCTGTGCCAGGGCCCAGGGTCTGCCGCAGTGCCCAGTTCAGCAGGTGGGCGGCCGTGTGCTTCTCCATGCAGCCCAGACGCCAGGCCTGAAACACTTGTGTCACCCAGGGTCCTGGGTGAGGGCAGGGGGTGGGGAGAGTGAAGGGGCTGCAGGGTCTTGGGAAGTCAGGGAGGATCCTTACCTTATCCACATGCAGCTGCACCTGGTCCCCTATCTGCAGGCACTCAGGGGCTACTGCCTCATGCAGAATGAAACCCCCACAGACCTGGGCACGGGCTATTGGGAACAGCACATCCTGGGGGAGGGGAGAGGTCAAGGTGCCTGTAGCCTTTCCCTCCCCTCGGTTCCCACCCAAGGCTTGGGTCTACCTCCCACAGAAACTAGCCTGGGTTGTGGAGGGGACTCACCTCTTGCCCTGCCCGCACCAGGTAGCCACGGTCTGAAGCCTGGCCCCCCTGTTCTGCGTAGAAGTTGGTCTTATCCAAGAGGAGGCCACAGCGCTGGCCTTTCCCCACGGAGGCCACTGCTATCCCGTCCTCTGTATACAGCTGCAACACCTGGGCCTCGCAGGCACCAAACTCTGCCAGGGCACGGAATGGTTGTTAGTGCTGGACAGGGGCTGGGGATCTGGAAGTGGGTCTGTGTGTTGGGGACAACAGGCACCCCACTGGTGGGGGTGCTTCCAGGTGGGGGCCACAGAGACCCCTGGTGGTCATCCTGGGGAATGCATAGGGGCTGGTAGCAACCATGTTGGACATTCTTCCCAGTCAGGGTCAGGCAAGCTTGTGGCCACACGTCTCAGTCCAGGCTCTCACCATAACCTCCGTTGGGTTGCAAAGAGTAGTCATATTTGGAGCTGTCGTCAGTTGGGGGCACTCCTCGGCGCTGCAGCTCCCCCAGAGCATGGACATCAAGCCACAATCCCTGCTTCTGAACTGGCTCAGCCTGCTGTGCCCGGTGCTGCAGGATGGGCATGTCACGGAAGAGGTATATGGAGAATGCATGTCACAGGGCTGCATGGGACTTCAGCCTCGCACAGCCCTGTCCCTGCCATGCAGCTGAGGACGCTGCAGCCCTTCTGGGATAAGTACTCAGGGCTTGGCTGGCTGGTAGAGCCCCTGGGCTGGTCGCTGAACCATCCATCGTATGGGCTCCTCAGGATCTGGGCTCCTCAGGATCAGGCCTCCCTGCCCACCACTGCCCCTGGAGGGCCCCTCTCCAGGAAGCTGTGCTAGCTTCTGCTCCTGTGTTTAGCACATTGGCTAGTGTTGCTCTCTGCAGGTTGTGGCCCGAGGTTTTAGAAACCTCCCAGGTGAGAGGACAGGTCCTGTCTCAGCCTCTTGATTCCTCACAATAGCCGCAGTTCTTCCCCCAGGAGCTCAGGGCTGGGGAAGGGATGTCCCAACAGAACCCAGCATGGGGGTGGGATAGCTTATACCTGAGCTTCCTCCTGGGCCAAACGTTCTAGCCCAGCGGAGTCTAGCTGCACCCCTTTCTCCTCCAGCATCAGCTCTACCAGGTCCAAGGGAAGCCCCAGGTCTCCAGCCAGTGACAAGGACCAGGCCACCTCAGCTTTGAGAAAGGAAGACAAAAAATGTTGGGGAGGGGAGGGATAAGACAAAGAAGGGAAGAAAATAAGGCCAGGGCCTTTCTAACCACGCAGAAGCCACCAGATGCCAAACACAAATAAATACCCCCTCCATACTGCGCAGCCTCAGGAGAGGGGGCACATTCAGGCTTCATGCATCAAGGCCAGAGTTGGGGCTAGTCTAGGATACTCCCTGGGCACACGTCATTTCAAAGGAGGAGGGAAGCTGTCTGTGCATGAAGCCAACCTAGGAAAGCAGGAGGCAGGACTTGCTGGGCAGTGTGGATGGGGAGAGGCAGGGTGGTGTTCCTGCTGCAGAGGGGTCTGGGTATGGAAGGAGAGTTCAGGAAGAGAGGAACATTGGGCTGAGGGAGGGGGCGGACGTGAGGCATGGGGCTGGCCCCTCCTCTGCCCACCCTGGCGAGTCTCAGTGAGCCTCTTGTGCAGGGGCTAGGTACCCCACTCACCAGGGAACATATCTGAAGGCCCCAGGCTCCTCAGAGTCCGATCAATGATCCGCCGACCCCGCTGCAGGGAGGCCAGGAAGGCTGCTTCATCCTCTGACACCAGGTTGGCTATCTGAACCAGGCAGAGCAGAAGTGGAGCTGGGTCTCCTTAGAGGGAGGGTCTCTCTCCACATCTCTCCCATCAGCCCCTTTCTCTCCCATCCAAATCCAGTACCTGGGCTGAGTTCCTTTGCAGTTCCGGATAAGCATCTCCCTGGGGGAGGTGGAGAAGGTATGAAAGGCAACCAACCCACCCCCACCTCTCCACCCTGTGCCTCCCTAAGGACACCTGCCCTGGCGTCAGACACATTGAGGACTGGGAGAGGGTCTCAAATGGGGAACTGCTTTCCCTGTAGGGTGGCAGAAGGGGGTCCTAAGGTCAAAGGCTCAGCAGTTTGAGCAAGGAGCCTGCTCAAGTCTCCCTGTTTCTTGTAAGCAAGGACAGTTTTCTTAGCTTGCTGATAGGATGCTGGGCTAGGCATTTAGGGTGGGGACCCCTGGGCATCCAGGCTAGGCCGGTACCTGGGGACATTGTCTAGGCTCAGTGATAGGCTCCCCAAGTGCCCAGGAAGGCCCAGAATGGAGAAGCAGCTCTCCCCTTACCAATGTCTCCACCACTACAGGCACCAGGCTGCCTAGGAAGCCAGGTGGTGCCTTTAAGATCTCTGTGGAGAAACGCACAGCTCGACGGAGGATCCGACGAAGAATCAACCTAAAGGGGTTCAGAGCCCAGACATTAACTCCCACCCCAAAACTCTCCCTCCCCCCATTCCTCCTACTGGCTCAACCAGACCCACCTCTCCTCTTCCTTCCCTCCTCCACCTGTGACCCCCAGCAGCCCTTGTCCTCTCTGTAGCCCTTCCAGACTCACGGGGCACCTGACATCCCAGGAAAGACGCCATCAGCGATGCAGATGCTGAGTGTGCGGATGTGGTCAGCTACCACGCGGTACGCTGTGTCTGTGCGCCCCTCATCTGCCACCCCTACCCGGCCCAAGTAAGGGGGTACCCTGCAGCCCTGGAAAGCAGGAGAGAAAGAGTCAGTCAGTGGCCCTGCCTGACCTGGCCCAGGTGGGTGCTCTTTAACACTTCCAGAGCACCTGCCCTCAGCCCTAAAGCCAACCACATCCAGAATGGCCTTGCCAGTCCAGTCATGGGCTGAGAAGCCTTACGGATGAACAGGAGCCAGGCCCTGTCCTCATGGGGCTCATGTTTGGTGCTACAAGTGATCATCTCTGTGATCACTTACTGAATTTCTACTATCAAAACTGGGTGAGTGCTTGAACAACATGACCTCTAATCCCCAAAACAGCCTGTTCCGGGAGGTATCAGTATCCTTGCTTTAAAGAAGAGGAAGCTGAGGCTCAGAGGAACTTGGTGATACAGGCTACCCAGCTCATGAGGAACAGATCTGAGATCTCAGCCAGGCCTGTTGGACTCCAGGTGCTTTCCACTACCTGTTCTCGACTCTCCCATCTTTTGTGGGGGTGGGCAGGGAGGGAGGGCGTAAGCTACATACACATGGAAGTGATCCAAGGCAGGGAGCTTGTTTATCTAGCTCCAAACCTCTCTCTTCCCCAAGCTTCATCTCAGTAAATAGTCATGCCATTCACTGTGTTGCTCAAGTCAATAGCCTGGGAACCATCTTTGATTTCTCTTTCTCCTCCCCATCCAATCCATCAGTGGGTCCTTTTGCTTCTACCTCCATGAGATATCTCAAATCAATCTATTTGTCTCTACTTCCACTGCTGTTAGCTGAAGCCACGCCCTGTGATCTTTGCCTGGACTGGTAATAGCCTCCCAACTGATTCCTCAGCTTCTGCTCTCGTCTCCCTCCAGCTTAACCTCCACACAGCAACAGGAGCAGCCTTTCAAAAGTGTACATCAGGCCGGGCACAGTGGCTCATGCCTGTAATCCCAACACTCTGGGAGGCTGAAGTGGGTGGATCACCCGAGGTCAGGAGTTCGAGACTAGCCTGGCCAACATGGTGAAAGCCCATCTCTACTAAAAATACAAAAATTAGCCAGGGGTGGTGGTGGGCACCTGTAATCCCAGCTACTCAGGAGGCTGAGGCAGCAGAATAGTTTGAGTCCAGGAGGCAGAAGTAGCAGTGAGCCGAGATCATGCCACTGCACTCCAGCATGGGCAACAGAGCAAGACTCCGCCTCAAAAAAAAAAAAAGTTATCAGCTGGGAGTGGCATGATCTGATGCACACTTTTATTTATTTATTTAGCGACTAAGTCTCACTCTGTCACCCAGGTTGGAGTGCAGTGGCACGATCTCGGCTCACAGCAACCTCCACCTCCCGGGTTCAAGCAATTTCCTCCTGTCTCAGCCTCCCAAGTGGCTGGGACTACAGGTGTGTGCCATCATGCCAGGCTAATTTTTCTATTTTTTAGTAGAGACAGGGTTTTGCCATGTTGGTCAGGCTGGTCCTGACCTCAAGTGATCCACCTCCCTCAGCCTCCCCAAGTGCTGGGATTATAGGCGTGAGCCACCGCACCTGGTCCTGAGAACCCTTCTCCGCCACTCTGAGAATCAAAGCACCACTTTGGACTTTAAGGCCCACAAGACTGGACTTTGTCTTCTTCTCTGTAGTAGACTGTTCGCAAAAATGGCCCTTTCCTATGCATATGCCACTTTAAAATGGGACTTCACAGCTGTTTCCCATCAAGAGACAGAATCTATTTCTCCATCCTCTGAATCTGTGCTGGCTTTGTGACTTGCTTTGGCCCACAGAATATGGTAGAAATAACATTGTTCTGAGCCTATGTGTCTGATCTGTCTTGGAACCTTGCTGAGCTGTGATGTGGACAAGCCCAGACTAGCCAGCTAAGTGATGACAGACACATGGCCTAGTCACCCAGACTGCCCCCAAACTGACAGTCAGCCAAGCCCCAGAAGAGGAGCTGCCTCTCAGCTGACCACAGATGGATGAGTGAGCTCACACAAGACCCAAAGAAAGCCCAGCCTAAACTGCTAGCCTGCAGACTCAGGGGGCAAATAAATGGTTGTCGGTTAAGCCACAGAGCATTAGGGTGGCTTGTTATACAGCAAAAGCTAAATGACACATGTTCCTACTATATCCCATGGGATTCTCCTTTAGCCAGTTGGCCACCTTTTTGTTCTTGGCACATGTCAAGCCCTTTCTTGGGGGGAAAGGAAGGAGGGTATAGGCTACACACACATGAAAATGCTCCAAAGCAGGAAGCTTGATTCACCTAGCTCCAAACCCCTCTCTTCCCCAAGCTCCATCTCAATAAACAGTCATGCCATTCACCTTGTTACTCAAGTCAATAGCCTGGGAGCCATCTTTGATTTCTCTTTCCCCTCCCCATCCAATCCATCAGCACTAAGGCCCTTGGTACCTGCTGTCCCCTCTGCCTGGAAAGAGCTTTCTGTGGTTGATTCCTCTTCCGTTGGGGCTCAACTCAAAGGTCACCTTCTTGGTGAGCCTTCCCCAAACACCTTATCTAAGATTCCTCTGCACCCTCCTTCCTCCTAGTTACTTTCACCCGTGTTTACTGCCTGTTCACAATCTGTAAGCTATTACCTTGTGCTTTAACACATTTATTGTCTATCTCTCATGCTAGCATGTAATCTTCATGATCTCTTTTCTGTTTACTGCTGTGTCTTCTGTACCAAGCACAAAAGACTTAACACAAAGGAGCCACTCAACACATAAATGAAAGAAGGAGTCAGGAGCAAAATCAGGTAATAAGTAATGAATCCTAGTGTCTTGCGTGACATCTTGGAATTCTTGGTTGGTTATTGTCCTCAGATGCTGAGAACATTCTGAGTTCTCAACAAAGATGGAGCGCAGTGGAGCTGAGGGCTGTGAAGAGCAGGTTGGAGGGTTTCTGGAAGGGAAGAGGCACTCACCTGGTGTATGGCGCTGAGCAGTGGGGAAAAGAGGTCAGTGTCGTAGGTGGAGTGTTTGCCTTGCAGCACGGCCACCAGCCTTTCCAAGCCCATTCCCGTGTCCACATGCCGCTGGGGCAGGGGCTGCAGGCTTCCATCTGCCTCTCTGGCCAGGGAAGGTGTGCAAGGTAAGGCCCCACCCAGGATTACAAGTGTGAGACAGATGCCCAAGTGGAGTAGAGAAGGAGGGGGCCCAAGAGGGCTGACAGTGGGAGGAGCCAGACAAGCAGTATCTTCCCCTGCCACCCTGCAATAGCAGATGATACGGCCTTGGGTCTTGTCCTTGCTCATACAGGGCTATCTCCACTCTCACTCTTGCTTGAGCCCTTGCCTGAGCACCCGACATCCCATCTTAGGACAGAATACTTTGCCCTTAGAAAGACATGTCAAGGCTAGAAGACAATCTAAGATCATTAAGTTCAACTATATCATATGATACGAGGCCAGACACTAGCAGTGACTTGTTTAAACTGTCACAGGCAAGGACTAGGATTAAATCAGTTCTTATCTATAAAGTGTTAATTGTGCCTGGCATATGGTAAGCACCATTTACGTGTTTGTTTTTATATGAAACAGATCAAAGTCTCCTAATTGCCACCTTTTCCACTTCTAGCCAGGGATTCTCGTCCTGCTTCAGCACCCCATTACCTGTTGTGTTGCATGAAGACCAGATTCCAAAGCTCTACCAGCTGCGGGGCTCCCAACCCACCAGCAAGGTCATAGTGGATCTCAGCACAGGGCCCACAAGGGCCAGTATCCCCCATCTCCCAGAAGTTCTCTTGGGGTCCAAAGGAAAGCACACGGCTAGCAGGCACCCTGGGGAGAAAGGCAGGTGAGTGGTGGGAGACAGACAGACCCAAAAGCTGGGATCCTCTCTGTCACGAGAGCCCCTCCCTCAAGTCGCAGCTCAGCAAGAGGAGGAACAGGGCTGACCCCACAGTGTCCTGGAATGATATGCTGAGACTCTGAGGATTGGTGCTGGTAGTCTCCATTTTCCAGTCTTCCTGCCCTCCAGGAATGAACATAAGGAGGGGGCTGACTTACCCTAAGCTCAGCCAGATGTCCCTGGTCTCCAGGTCTGGGTCCAGCCTTGCCTTGGGGTCACCATCAAAGTAGGAGACCCAGAGTCTTTCCTCAGGGATCCCATAGACCTGAGTCAGCAGTTCCCAGGCCATGCTACAAGCCTCCTCCTGCAGCAGAAACCAGCATGGGATGGGGAATGGAAGATGGGTGAGAGGGAGACCACACTGAAGTCATCAAGCCACATGAGTTTAGCCCTCGGCTTAAGACAAGAGCATTTCTGCTGCCATCTTGTTCCCAGAATAAACCATGAACCATTACTGCCTGAGTGTTTTCCTGCCCAGAAAGCTTCCCCCTTCTTCTATATCCTATCTTCTTTCAAGTCCCAGAACAAGTCCCATTTTCACATGAAATTCTCTGCCTACTGTAGTCTGGGGTGATCTCTAACTCCAGTAAGCACCTTAGCATTGCTATTTGATCATTTATTCAAACAACAATTTTTGAGTAGCCATTAGGCAGGAAGCACAGTCTCTGCCCTCAAGGGGCTTACAATCCCATCAGGGAAGTGAGGTAATTCCTGTTACACCTGCTCAACTAGCACTTTGCCTCTGGATCTGGTATGAGGCCCTGCCTAAGCAGACAGTACAATGGAAACAGGATGAACTTTGACTCCCTTCTTGGCTGACCACTGCTCCCCAAAGACTCACCTTAAAATATTCACCCCCAAAGGCCCAATTGCCAAGCATTTCAAAGAAGGTGTGATGGGAAAGGTCTCGGCCCACATCTTCCAGGTCGTTATGGTGTCCTCCAGCCCTCACACATTTCTGGCTGTTGGCCACACGTCGGAAGCCTGCCATCTCACTTCGTGGATTCACGGTGCCCAGAAAAATGGGCTTGAACTGGAAGCACATGAAGTGGGGAGGGGGAGAGGGATTTCCCAATTTCTCAGTAGAAGAGAAAGGTGGGGAGTGGGGATGGGGATGCCTGTTCACACCGAAGGCTGACTGTGCCCCTGAAAGTGCAGTGTAATCTAGGAGGACAACCTGAGACCCTGGGGACAGCCATCTCTGGTGTGTGGGGGGCAGGGAAGAGGTAGATAAATCATGAACCAGAGACCCTCTGCTAGTAAAATAGGCAAGGTAAAAGAAGGAGGGATGTGTTGGGAGCTGGAAACAGGGCACTGAAAGGTGGCATCCTCCGTCCCAGCTTCTTCAAACACACCCAATGACTTCAGGGTACAAAACTGAGACTCATCTAGTAGGGATCCCAGACAGCCTCTAAGGTTAACCTATGCCGCTCCTATTTTACAGATGAGGACAATGAAGTCTAGAAAGGGTGGGTGATTGATAAAAATCAAAAGTTTAGAGAATAGTACTCAGCACACAATAGGTGCTCAATAAACATTTAATGAAAGCATTATCTTTATTTAACGAACGAATAAATGAAACCAGACTTCCCCCACCAATCTGCCCCAATGGGATTCCACACCAACCATTTCTGGACCTAATACTCAATCCCAATCCATAAATTCCCCGCTCAAGCCCTCGCCTAACCCTCCCTATACTCAGCGCCGTCCCTCCTTAATCACTTTACCCAACCAAGCACCGTCCTCGTTCCCCCAAAAACCATGAACTCCGCCTCTTGCTTCTTTTACCCAATCCTGCAGCGTCTTTCTCACTGGAAAACTCACAAACTCCGCCCCCTATCGGTATGGTTCGGCCCTCACCTGATTCATGCCCGCATTGACGAAAAGCAAACTGGGGTCGCCGCGGGGCCGCACGGAAGCGGAGGGTACCAGTCGGTGGCCATGGCGGTCCCGAAAGAAGTTCAGAAAGGCAGCCCTCACCGCCGAGGCCTGGGCTGCAGCGGGCTCCGATGAGAGCGGCCGATGGCTGGGGCCCTGCCATGCGGGCGACCTTCGAATGGCCCGCCGCAGCCTCCGGGCTGCAGCTGCCACCGACGCCGCCATCTTAGCTCCGGGCAGTGACTTTACAGGGTCAAAGAGTGACGAGGGAAGGAAGCCAGGTGTTTCCTACAGCGGCCCCTGGCGGTAGGAGGACTCTGGGGGCGGCCTCTGCCGCCCGGGTGGAAGAGATTGGGTCGCTAGCAGAAGTCGGTCTAGCACAGCGCCTGGCACATAGTAGGTTCTTAATTAATTCGGCATTAAACAAATATTCATTGAGAGGTTACTATGTGCTAGGCATTGTTTTGGGCGTTTAGAGTACAAAATTGACAAAATGCCCTGCCCACTGAAATTTGTATTCTAGCAGTAATTGCTGTTGTGCTAATAAGCAAAGTAATAAATGGGGTTGCAATTAAAAGGTGTTGATTCAACTTCTTCGTGTGTGTGTGTGTGTGTGTGTGTGTGTGTGTGTGTGTGATGTGGTGTGTTTTTCCAGGCTGAGGGAAGAAGGCAGAGAGTGACAGGGGAATATCAGCATTCATTCAAGAGGTATTCAACAAATATTTATTGAAGACCTGGTATGTGCTAGGCACTGTTCTAGGCATTTGCCAGTTCCCTTGGACCTTGGCATCACACACAGCCATTTTGTCCTTGAAGCAGGAGTCCATAGGAGAACAGAGAAGCCAGACAGCATTTGCTATATTATTAATTGCCTGACATTTGGTCTTCTCATTTGCCTGGGGATCAGAGAGAATCCAGGTCGTCAAGGCAGGAGGAAGCAGTTGGCTGATAGCTGCAGAGATTTCACTCTCTAAGCCTTCCAGTGCCCTAAGGTTTTGTGTGTTTTGCTTTAGGGTAAGAGATACACCAGTCTTACCTCTCCCTTCTGGCTTTCCATAGTAAAGCTGTGACCCTGAAGCCAACAGGTGCTTGTGGGTGCAGTCAGGGTGCTCACAGGGCTTCTCTTGATGCCGTTGGCTTGGGAAATTAAACACATTGGAAAGAGAGAAGAGAATTTGCCAAAGCTAAAACTCAATAGAGGTTCTAGAGCTGAGGTCAGTGTAATAACTGAGAAGACCTTAGCCATCCAGGTGGTCTCTTTTAGCCACAATTCTGTGTGTGTTAAGTTATTTGGGGTCTTTGGAAACGTGGTTTCTCTGGGGAATCTACACTGGGCTTGAATTTCTGTACAACAGTACATTCTCAATTTTGTATTCTGACAGCACCTATTCCATGATCCCCTTTTTCTTCCCCTTCCGCACATAGATTAAAGGTGTTGTTTTGAAAGTGCATTTGGCCTGTTTTGGTTTTTCCAGTGTTTCTGGAACAGGAAGCTAAAGCCAGATGGGGATTTCTGTGAGACTGATGATCTTTTTTAATTTTATTTTTTGAGACGTCGTTTTGCTCCTGTTCCCCGGGCTGGAGTGCAATGACACGATCTCGGCTCACTGCAACCTCCACCTCTCGTGTTCAAGTGATTCTCCTGCCTCAGCCTCCCAAGTAGATGGGATTACAGGCATGCACCACCACGCCCGGCTAATTTTGTATTTTTATTAGAGACGGCATTTCTCCATGTCGGGTCAGGCTGGTCTCGAACTCCCAACCTCAGATGATCTGCACGCCTGGGTCTCCTCAAGTGCTGGGATTGCAGGCATGAGCCACTGCACTCGGCCAAGATTGATGATCTTTAGACAAGACTGTGAAATTATTTCCCAAACTGGGATGGAAGTGTTTTTCCATACAAACCTAGCAGGGCCTCTACTCAGTACTGAACGTCAACTCTTTTTTCAGATTTTGCCCAGAAAGTCATTGTGTTATATTAGAAACTCCAAATGTGGATCTAGTATTGAGACATATAACTTTTTAAACAGCTTTATTGAAATATAATTTACATACAATTCATCCATTTAAATGAAGTATACAGTTCAATGGCTTTTAGTATATTTACATAGAGTTGCCCATCCATCACCACAATCCCTTTTAGAACATTTTCATTACTTCCAAATGAAATCTTGAATCCTTTAGCCATTAACCCCCAATCACCTCTTCCCTCCTAGCCCTTGGCAACCACTAATCTACCTTCCGTCTCTACAGCCTTGCATATTCTGGACATGTCACATAAATGGAATCATATGTGGTTCTTTGCAACTGGCTTCTTTCACCTAAAATAATGTTTTCAAGTTTCCTTCATGTTGTAGCATGTACCATGGATTTTTAGAAAAATGTTTTTACTTGTTTTCTGCTTGAAGTAGGTTTTTCTCTCATCTTATTTTGTCTTTGCCACTAAAAATGATAATTTTCTTTTTTTTTTTTTTTCTTTCTTAGCCATGCATGAGCAAGATAATTTTCTTTTTTTCAAATGTGGTGTTCTTTGGTGAATCATTAGGTTCTTTTTAGTGTTTCCCAGTGAAGCAAGTGGTTCATCTAGGTCTGGGATGTGTCTATTCTGGTTTGCAACTGTCATCTGATAAGGAAGTTAAACGTAAGGCCTGCAGCTTCCCAAGATAGTTGGAGGTGGAGAAAACTCATCAGACAGGGAAGTTACCAACCCTGGGAACTTCTCTCAAGGGTACTGATCCACTGTCTTAGTATTTGTGGGAATTTCATTTTGAGGTTTAACATGCAAATAGAGTCTGTTTCTTGGGAGTTACTCAGCTGGGTTTTGCGAGCACCATTTCAGGCGCTCCTTTCATTGTTTAAGACAGTGGTGCTTTATCTTCCCTGGAACTGGGCTTTTCCCATATGTTGCCATTTGACCTACTTATCTTGGTAGATTCAAGGCACCCAGCCATTCTTTGTGCTCTCCCTTTCACCTTGTTTAAAAGATGTAACACTGTTATTCTAGGAGTAGGAATTGTCCTTTCTGATTTCCCCTTTGGCTTTCAGAGCAGGACCCCAAGGTCAGTGGGACATTCTGTCCTGTGTTGATGGTCAGAGAAGACAGGAGGGAATTTTCACTCTTACTGAGCATGGGGAACTCAGCTGTGGGAATTTCCTCTTAAAAATCATAAAAGCAGTCTTTTAGTGTCTAGGTTAAAAATTCAGCCTTCAAGAGGTGTTTCTGGTTTGATGTATGTGTTTATGGCATTGCCTTATCTGGATTGTGAAAGCAACCAATACTTGTCAAACATTAATATATGCATATGTATCTCCTGAAATCTTGTTAAAAATGCAGACAATGATCCGGTAGGTCTAGGGTGGGTGAAATTCTGCATTTCTAGCAGGCTCCCGGTGATGCTGCTGCTGCTGCTGCTAGTTTACTAGACCCTTCCTTGAGTGACAAGGTTGTAGTAAAGGACTGGTGAGGACAGTCTGGACACAGGCTTTAGGAAATATTGTTTTGCCTGGTCCTGGGGCCTAAGACTTAGGTGCCCTTAGGTTCTCCCTTTCTCCTAGGAAGGGCGCTCACCCAGAGCAGGTGGGTGTAGCTGGGAGCTCACGTGCGCAAGAGTGCTCGCACCCTTCCCTCCACCAGCTTCCTAGGGAATTGAGGGTGGCGATTACATCTGCCTGTGGCTTAGAGATGTGGAGGTTAATGTGGACGAGGGTGGGAGGGGAACGGTGCTCGTGGGAATCTGGTGGAGTCATCAGGGCATGCTGATGGCCGGTGGAGCCCCTGGATGGGGAATTCGAGGATTGGTGGACCTTTGAGGGTCTCAATTCTAGAGGTTTATCCTTATGCATTTTAAAAATACTGTAGTTACATTGTTTATTTTTATTTTATTTTTGAAAGAGTGGGGTTTCGCTATGTTGCCCAGGCCAGTTTTGAACTCCTGGTCTCAAGTGATCTTCTTGCTTCAGTCTCCAAGGTGAGCATTTAAAATGGTTATAGAAATACCTACATAACAACATTGATTTTACCTCTTGGCCTGGAAAACCTAAAATATTTCATATGTGGCCCTTTTTAAAAAAAGTTTGCCAAACATTGCAATAGAGATTTTTAAAAAAATCATACCATAAAACATAGATGTAGAAAATCAACCAAAATAAATGTTGATTTGTTTCAATGTTGTTGATTCAAAGGGAGACATCTTTGTATCCACCACCCAGATCTTGAAGTAGAACTTTGCAGCCACCCCAGGGCCTCTCCATGGATTCTGCCCTGCCTGCAACCATCTTCTTTCTCCCAAAGGCGACCACTACCCTGACTTTAATAGTAATCACTGCATTGCATTTTTTGTTTTTTTTTGAAACAGAGTTTCGCTCTTGTTGCCTAGGCTAGAGTGCATTTGGTGCCATTTTGGCTTACTGTGACCTCTGTCTTCCAGGTTCATGTGATTGTCCTGCCTCAGCCTCACGAATAGCTGGGATTACAGGCATCCACCACCATGCTTGGCTAATTTTTGTATTTTTAGTAGAGTTGGGGTTTCATCATCTTAGTCAGGCTGGTCTCAAACTCCTGACCTCAAGTAATCCACCCACTTCAGCCTCTCCAAGTGCTGGGTTTACAGGCATTAGCCACTGTGACTGGCCTCCCTGTTTAATTTCTAATAGATATTACCCACATAGAAGCTCTTTTGGGATTTTCAATACTTTTTAGGAGTGAAACCTAAAACTAAACATTTGAAAATTGCTGCTTTACAGCAACCGCTAAAAAATCGTGCAATGAGCAGCACTATTCATTGTAGCGGAAGCAACCCAAATGTTCATTAGTTTCATGGATAAATGAAATGTGATATGTGCATACAATGGAGTATTAGTCAATCATAGAAAGAAATAAAATCTTCATACATGCTTCAATGGGGATGGACCTCGAAAACATTATGCTAAATGAAAGTAGCCAGACATAAAAGGGCACATATTGCCGAGCATGGTGGCTCATGCCTGTAATCCCAACACTTTGTGGTGGAGACGGGCAGATCACCTGAGGTCGAGAGTTTGAGACCAACCTGACCAACATGGAGAAACTTCATCTCCACTAAAAATACAAAAATTGGCCGGGCGTGGTGGTGCAAGCCTGTAATCCCAGCTACTCAGAGGCTGAGGCAGGAGAATTGCTTGAATCCAGGAGGCCAAGGTTGTGATGATCCAAGATCACACCATTGCACTCCAGCCTGGGCAGCAAGAGTGAGATTCTGTCTCAAAAAAAAAAAAAAAAAA